CTGTGTCTGTGTTACTGTTTAGGCTCAGTGATTGAGCTTGGTGGGCTTCTGTACAACTTTCCAATCAGATTTGCTATCATCCTGCTGAGGCTGACGGTTCTATGAAATTTTGATGTGTTGAGCAGTCCAGGAACTATAGATCTGGATCGGTTTGCTGGCTTGGCAATTCGATGACATTCAGTTGTGGAAGCTGGGCCATTTCTATATTGGAGGCTGTCAGGGTATGAATGTGGCCTGCTGTTCCTTCAGGCAGAAAGGGGAATGTGCCAGCCTTATCCTGAGAAGGCCCCAGAGTTCCCAACCCCCAGCCATCTGCCTTAGAAAATTCAGCAGTATCATGCTCTTTTGGAGATGTTCATATACATCTTTTTATGGTTCCTTTCAACTTTCATGGCACTATGGTCTGAGAAGATGCTTGGTATTCTGTATTCATGATTTATATGTGTTTGAGTTATACTCTAATTTGTGATCTGTCCTGAAGAATGTTCCATGTGCATTGGAAAAGAATATGTATTTGACTTTTAAGGATGGAGGGCCCATCCTTAAAATTAATGTACATTAGTATGTACATTAATCCCAGTTCTTCTAATTCTTTTAGAGTTTTTCTTCCTTTACTGATACAAGATGCAAATCTGGTTAATATGTCTAGAGACAAAAATAAAATGTTGAAATCTCTCATTACTAATTGTCTTTCCATCAATGTCTTTATTTAGGTCTTGAGTGGAAGCTGTATCATTGCAGACTCTTGATTTGATGCATATATGTGATGAGTTCTTGCTCTATTTTTCCCTTAACCAGTCAATAGTGCGCATCTCTATTTTTAATAACTTTCTATAGGTTGAATACTATTTGGTCTGATGGAAGTATGGCTGTGCTAGCTTTTTTTTATTTTAATCTCCTGTTGGCTTGTATGACTGTTTTCTGTCCTTTCACTCTGATCCTATATTTATCCTGTAAATTTGGGTGTGTTTACTGTAAGTAGTTTTTTCTTTTCTTTTCTTTTCTTTTTTTTTTTACTTTTTGGGTCACACCTGGCAATACTCAGGGGCTACTCCTGGCTTTGCACTCTCAGGGGACCATATGGGATGCTGAGAAATCGAATCCAGGTCGGCCACGTGCACGGCAAATGCCCTACCCACTGTGCTATTGCTCCAGCCCCTGTAAGTAGTTTTTAGATAGATTTTGTATCCTGATCCATCTAGCCACTCTGTGCCTTTACTTAGCTGATTGACATTCAGAGACATTATTGATATAAAAGTCTGTGTTGCCATTTTTTGGTATGGGGTTTAGTTTTTTTGAAATTGTCCAATTTTTTTTTCAAGGCAGCCTTTAAGTAATTCTTGCAGTTTTGGTTTAATTATAGCAGATGTCACCAGCTATTGTTTTTCTGAAAATGCTTTTATTCCTCCCTCAAATCTAAATATGACAGCTCTTCAGGAAAGTTTTTTTTTCATTCAGTACTTTGAATTTGTCATTCCACTCTTTCTTACTTGTATGCCCTCATATCAGAGATCAATTATGATTCTTATGTTATTTGTCTTGCCTTTGAAGTTTGTCTTCTTTTGCTGCTTAAGTAGTAGTCTGTCTCTTGCTTCGGGTTCTGCCATTTTGCTTACTGTGTCATGGTGGTGTTCTCTTGAGTCTGTTTTGTTTGGTACTCTTCGAAACTCTTGAATCTGCAAAAACCTCTCCAGCATCTGGTAAAGTTCTGAGTTGTTAGATCCCCCAGAATAATTCTTTGCTTTCTCCTTTTTTCCACTCTTTCTGGTATTCCTTTGATTCAGAGCTTATCCTGCTGTTATTCATTGATTATCTTATAACCTCTTTCATTCCTTTACTTCTCTTTTCTTTGCCATTTTAATATTGATACTGGTGTATTTTGTCTTGAAGTTTGCTGATATGACTCTGCATTCAGAATTCTGTTGTGGCTTGCTACTGTATTCCTTAGCTTCTTCAATTCATTTGTATGGATTCTTGAATACTCTGAATCAAGTGGTTTTTGAGTTGATTAAATTTCTCTTCCAGTGATTTCTCATTTCCATCGCCAGTGCATAGAGAGTTGATTTGAGGTCCTCCTTAACCGGGCTTCAGAATTTACATGAACGTGAACACCTGCCTGGATTTCTGTCCCTGCTTGCCAGTGCAGTCGGCTTCCTCTGTTTCCCCATTGTTCTTAGAGTTTTGTGGGTGCTGGCAGTGAAGTTTCAGATTCCTGGTTATCTGAGTAGTGATCTGATTTGTTACTTTACACTAATGGACTTCTGCTGATGCTTCTGGTATTCTGACTATTTCCGTTACTGTGTAGTGGTTATTTCAGTGTGACAAGCAGGTATAGAGCTAGCTCCTCCCAGTCAGTTAACATTGCTTTTATGGGGATGAGCCTGTGATTTCCCATAAACCCTAAGTGTGGTGGGGTGCATGGTTGGATCTGCCGGTTCTGGGTTTGATGCAGTGACTGGGGTTGGAGGAGACCTATCTGGGTGAGTGGGTGGAGTGGAAGGGGTGGGCTTCACGTCCCATGAGTGCATCTGATTGGGAGGATTGAAAATTGGCTTCAGCTCCATGAGTCCCTATGCTAGATGACAGTAGTTGCAGGTACAAGTAGGGCCCCTAAAGTTGTGTTTGGAGAAGTTACCCAAATTCTTCTTTAACCTCTTTTTAAAATTATTACTACTAACTTAATCCTAATTTTTTTCTTTTCTTTTTACTTTTTTTTTTGTCCAGTTTTTGGGTGTAGTGCTTAAGGGTTACTACCGGCTTAGTGCTCGTGGGACCATTTAGTGCCTAGGATTGATACCTAGGTCTTGTACATGCAGAACATTTCCTCACTGTGCTAAACTATCTCTCTAGTCTCTAATTCTTATATTTATTTAGCAGCTTCCAAAGAAGTCAGGGAGAAAAGCTGTTTAAAGTATGAGATTTGGCTATATGGTATATGAATGAGAATTGGGAAGATAGGAAAATATATGTAGGAAAGTAGAGGGAAAACTTTTTTTTAATTTATTTTTTTCTTTTTTTATTAGTGAAACACCATGAGGTACAGTTGTAGATTTACAATTTTTTGTGCTTGGGTTTGATTATACAATGATCAGATACCCATCCCTCCACCAGTGCCCATTTTCCACCACCATGGATAATATCCCCCCCCAACCCATCCCCCCATCCCCCCCTGCCTCTGTGTCAGGACAATCCCCTGTGTTCTCTCTCTCCTTTTGGGTGTTGTGGTCTGCAAAAGAGGCATTGAGTGGCAATCATGTTCAGTCCATGGTCTACTTTCAACATGGCATCTCCCCTCCTGGGAGGATCCTCCAAACACCCTTTATTTGGTGTTCCCTTCGTAGAGGGAAAACTTTTAATTTAGCATTTTTTCTTCCTTCCATTACATCTGTTCAAGGGTCACACACATATCTCCTTGTGGTGCTCAGATGTTTTCAGTTGTGTTTATTGGGGGCTTTGCACCTGACTGTGTCTCGTTGGGTAACTACAGTACCAAGGATCATAGGCAGTGGAATTAGCTGGCACCAACAGTAGAGCACTGGAACTGCAAGCTGGTTTCATACAGCAAAACGGGGGTCAAAATCACTATCTCTCCCATCTGCCTGCTCCTAATTTGGCATTGTTAGATACCCTGTATGAAAGTATTTGCTGTGTGCTAGATACTGTGCTCAGAGATTTCGAGAAATCTTAGTACTCCCAATTCTTCCATGTCCTTGCATGTGGCATTCACTTCCTTTTTGAAGAAATGAGTCATTTTAGGTATATTAGTTGTGCAGGACCACAAAAGTGCTAAGTGGTCTTTAAGTCCATGGCTTCCATCATGCAACAGGTTATTATTATTTGTGGGGGTTGTGGCGGTGGAGGTGGGGTGGAGAACTTTCCTGCTACACCTGGAGGTGCTCGGGGCTTACTCCTGACTCCATACTCAGGGATCACTTATGGGTGATAGTGCTTGAGTAATGATTTGTGGTACTGAGGTCAAACTGCAGGCAGCTGAAGTCAAGGCAAGTGCCTTAATTTCTATACTGTCATCTCTCTGGCTCCATAAAACATTCTTTTTATCAAGTTGATCTTGCTTCCTCTCATACTTTTGCTATGTACATAACATTAATATATATAACATATATACACATATCTTAGTTTTATTCATACCATCATTTTTTGTTTCCTTATAGTTAAAAAAATTGAAGACAAAATATGTAAGACCTTTAATCAAGAGTGACTTTATCTACTAAACAATATAAGCCAATTCTGTAATAATATAAATACAATTCTTAAATATTTTCAACTTAGTTTATCCAAGGAGGAAAATCATCTCCCTGCCTAACACTTTAAGTTGTGTTCCAAATGAAATCTGAGATTTAAAAATTCTCAATTTTGGTTTGGTGGACTTTGTCTATTTTTAATAGTTAAAAGTGTTACCCTTCTGCTTCTTTTTGTGCGAGGTTTTTCTTCTCAGCAGTGCTCAGGGCCTGGAGCAGTTCCAGGTGATATGTGACATGACTATGCTGGTTGTACAGTTCAGTGCCTCGGGGAACTGGGACCACATCTAGTGGTGCTGGGGTGTAGGAAGGCATGTGGTCCAGAGATTGGGTCCTCCTCATGCAAGCTGTGTACCACAGTCCTTTGAGCACTACCATTTTGCTGCTGGTAGAAAGTGCTGGGACAGGATGCTAACTTTATTGTCTAGAATTTTTAGGGTCTTTTCTGTCCTGTTGGAGTGTGTATCTAGTTACTCCTGTGTGTCAATTAAGATTCAGGTTTTCTTGCTTTGACTAGCTCTAAAACGTTTTCATGTTTTACCACTTTTTTCGTAGTTAATCAGTGTTAGTAGTTTTTATGCACTATCCTAGTTCAGACCACTATGCATCTTTGCTCTGTGGAAGACGGCATCCTAACAATCAGAAGTGAGGGTATTTTCCCTTGATATCTTCATGAGTACAATAGTCACTGGATTGTCAAGTGATGTGATGGCAAGTGACCCAGATTTCCTCTTTCACCAGGTGATCAGACTCTGAGAATCTGGGACGTGAAGACCACAGGAGTCAAACTTGTGGTTCCAGCACACCAAGCAGAAATTTTGAGTTGCGACTGGTGCAAATATAATGAGGTACCTTGTCTGGCGCCATCGTGAGCTGCTGAGCTCTTCCAAATATTGAAATGTCCTAGATTTTATTTTATCTTTTGTTTATGTGGACTTTGATAGTGTTTATGGACCATTAAGTTAAATTCAGTCCCTCTCCTTTCTAATTGATGACTGTGAGTGACCTGCATTAGCATTAATTGGATTTAAGTGCACATAAAGCAGGCAGAATAAGAAACAGAAATTCTCAAAGTTCAACAGTGCAGACTTACTTGTTTGTTTGGGAAACTGCTTTACAGTTGATGTAGTTTGGGTCCCCACCCCCCTTATGTTTCTTTACCAATTTGTATCTTTTTTTTTTTTTTTTGGTTCCTTTGGCTAGTCAGACTCCTGAGCTCTTTCTAAATGTTCTTTTTTTCCACCTTAACAGTCTGTCAGTGTTTATACTATTCTATTTTCTCTTCTCTTATAAGCCTAACTAAGCTTCATATATTTGTAAGATAGCTGTGTCCATCTGTAACTCTTTGCAAAGTTTGATTAGCTTTATGGTCATATGAATTAAAACAGAAGTTGATTCAATATTTTACTTTATTTTTGGTTTTGGGCCATACCCAGCAGTGCTCAGGACTTCTTTGGAGCTCTGCAATCGGGGATTACTCCTGATATGGCTTGGGGGACCAGCTGGGATGCTGGGAGTGAACCCCAGTATGCTACCTCAAGGCAAATGCCCTACTTACTGTACTATCTCTCCAATCCACTGATTAAGTATGTTTTGATAGACTTTTTAACGTTAATTTATATACTCAGGTTTGTTGACTATGACAATATGCTTTATATTTTTCTAGTTTTAAAATAATTTATGAAAATTAAGAGTAGTTTTTGTTTGTTTTTGGTTTTGGATCACGCTCAGTGGTGCTCAAGGCTTACTCCTGACTCTGTTCAGAGAACTCCTGGCAATTATCAGGGGTATCATATACGTGGCACCAGGGATCAAAGTGGAGTATGCAACATACAAATCAAGCCCCTATGTTATATCTCTCCACCCCCAAATTAAGAGAATTATATTGGTAGAGTCACTCAAATTAAAAAAAATAGAACAAAAGAAAATATAATACTTGTTCACCAAAGCACTTGATCTAAGTAAAAATTTCAGTGCTTATAATTTTCATTTTCATTTTCATCATCCTGTTATTCGTCGATTGCCTCGAGCAGGCCCCAGTAACGTCTCTTTCATCCTAGCCCTGAGATTATATTCAAGGCTATTTAGGAGAATGAGACCCATCATTGTTACTGGTATTTGGCATATTTGGTATGCCACGGGGAGTTTGCCAGACTCTGCCCTGTGGGCAGGCTACATTCGATAGCCTGCAAGTTTGTCCAAAGTAGGAATAAGACAATAAGATGTCACAAAAAAAAAAGTTCTGATAAGATGTCGCGCGGCCGCAAATGCGGCCGCGCGGTTCCGGGATCTGGATTTTATAGTCTCTGAGTCTTGGCCGCTGATGGGATTACACGGCGCCAGGGGGCCAGGTGGTGGGTGTGACCCCCGCCTACTGGAATTTGGAGGATCTGGGTGGAAGATGCTCGACTCCAATTCGAGTAGGCTTGGAGGTCTCGGCCCCGGAACCCGCGTGGCTTTGTCCCTCTGCCAGTACCTTCATGTGTGCGGAGAGTGGTCTCAGCATGGTGGTGGCTGGTCCTGGAGGTGCTTATAATAGCATTTCAATTTATTATCTTAGTAAAAGAATTTTCCATATAGGAAAATAAATTTGTAGACTCGGGGCTACTTCTGAAAATTCTACAGGAGATGCTGATAACACACTTGAGAGTGATTTTGAGGATTTTTTTTAAAAAAAGATTTAAACTTTTCTTCAAATGAGTTTATACAAAAGCCTAATGCCACCAGACAGTGAATTAAGGCTAGTCTGAATCTGCGCACAGCGTTTGACCTCTCCAGCCCAGAACGTTGGTCTCACCTTCTGTTCTAGAGAGAAAAACTGATACAACCTGACTAGATAGGAAAGTGTCTATTGCCACTCTTTGCAGAGTTTTTTAGATGTGATTAGATAATGAGGCCAGTGGTGGAAAGATTAATTTAGATTTAGAAGAACGACCAACGGGTTTTCCAGGGAGTCTCCCAAGCTGTGTTCAGGGGACTTCAGCACCACTTTCAGTGATTCTCTGACATTGAACTGGGCTGGCTGTTCAATGCGAGAGCCCTCAAGTGCAGTGCTGCCGGGCCCTGTGGTGCCAGGGATCACCTGGGACATGCATGTGGTACTCAGGGGCCTCCAGGGTGACACTCACTGACAGACCATGTGGTGTGAGAGAAAAATTAGCACCAGCCATATGCAAGGCATGTTCCTTAACCCCTGCACCGTGGCTCTGGCCCTAGATACCCTTTGCTCTTTCAATTATTTCTGAATTAATAGGCCTTTTGCCTTTTAATGCTGGATAATACCTCAGCACACCCTGAAGAGAAGTGAACGCACTTGTCAGATTTTTTAATCTTATTTGCACATAGTAATAGTGTTAAAGGTGGTTGGAGAATCCACAGTACTATTTGGTTCTATGCTTTTTTTTGTTGTGTGTGGGGTTCCATTAAATACATTGCCTTCCTTTTCTCACAGCTCATACTAATTTTTGTTTTTTCATGTGTAGTTTGACTCTTGTTATGTAACTGGTCAAGAATGACATTTGCATTTACAGTAAAGAATTACAAGAAAATAGATTTTGCCTTTGCTAGGAAAACGTTAGTACCACTTAATTGCTATGATACCAGTTTTATTCTCTCTGAATTGTTTTTAGAATTTGCTGGTAACAGGAGCAGTTGACTGTAGTTTGAGAGGCTGGGACTTGCGGAATGTACGGCAACCGGTGTTTGAACTTCTTGGTCATACTTATGCTATTAGGAGAGTGAAAGTAAGTTTTCATCTTTTCTTTATGTAGAATAAATATTTAATATATATGTATCTAGTTAGCTGGTAAGTACTGGGAAGAAAAAAAAACTGAAGAAAGATAGTTGCAAAGGTCAGCCTGTTAAAGCATGCATATTATTTATCTGACATGTATTGGATTTTAAATCTATTGTTTTGTATCTTTACTATGGTATATAGGTAATAGAAAAAAAATTTTTTAAATGTCTTATTTGTCATTTAAATGTTTCTAATTGTGCTTATAACAATTGTATATATTCATAATGTAAACTGTATAATTACATATTTATACTGTTACATTCTTCAACCCCTTGTGTTTATAGGAAATATGAAAGTTATGAAAAGTAAAAAACTATGCTTCATTTTTCCAGAATATCAATATTTTGAGAATATTTTATGTACATGGGGGGAGGGGTTCCCAACAGCCACACCCAGCATTGCAAGGGCCTGTGTCTGGCTCTTGAGAGTCACTTCCAGCAGTGATTCAAGGATAGAATGCTGGGAATTGAACTGGTATTGGCCACATGCATAGCAGACACTTTATGTTTGTACTAACTTTTTGATCCTGAGAATATTTTATTCTAAATAAACTTTAAAAACTTGGGCGATAACATTCTTGGAGAACACAGAAATAAATGTTTTTCCTATAGATAACAATAAGCCAGAAGATAACTTAGCATAAATAAAAGCATATAAGGTTTAGAAAAAAATAATTTTCATTTACTTTTTGAGTAAGTTTTATTACATTATCCATTGAGATGACAATATGAAGTAGTGTGTTCACTTTAATTTTTGTCTTTTGTAGTTTTCGCCGTTTCATGCTTCTGTCCTGGCCTCTTGTTCCTATGATTTTACTGTAAGGTACAGTCATTTTTGATAAATTTCATTATGCAGCGCCAAGTGGCATTTACATTTTTGCAAATTTTATGAAAGATAATGTTTTTATTGTACTGCTTTGAAAATAGTCTAGGCTGGATTCATATGAGTATTTGCCACTGAGATTGATATTGTATTTTTCTGCTTTTCTGTTCCAACTGTATATGAGTATATTCTTGGCTTTAAAAGATTAGCTTGACCGCTCTGTTTAATGTTCCCCCCCACCACCTTATTTTTCTTAATACCTGTTTCTGTTTTACTGCCTTCCTGCATATATAGAATGCATTGCTGGTATCTTTTAGAATTTTATTCTTCTCATCTAATTATTATATGAATCTTCAGGTTAAGATAGTTGGAAAAAAATCAGCCTGATGCATGTTATGTTTGTGAATGTGTGTGTGTGTGTGTATGTGTGTGTGTGTGTGTGTGTGTGTGCATGTGTGTATTTGACAAGGGCTATATCCAGTGATACTTGGAAGACAGTGTGGTGCCAGGGGTCCAACTCATGCTAACTTGTGCTCTACCACTTCAGCTATCTCCCGGACCAAGGTCACTCTGCTTTTCCCCCCTTTCCCAAATTTTAATTCCTGAAAGTTCCATTATCCACAGTACACTTACGTATATATTCCTAGATTGCGATTAGAATGTAGTTCCAGAATTTTAGAGCCATGTGAAAAATAAGTTGTTTCAAGGTTTTATTTTGGTTTTTGTCTAGTCCAAATACATGCTTTATATGTTTAAAGTGACACCAGTTAGTTCTGCCTTCCTCTGTTAGTGCTGTTGTGTGGTTCAATTATTCATTTAAAATGTTCTTTGATTCATTTGTTTCTGTTTGTGTTCAGTTTTAGGATTTTCTTCCCAATAGATTTGTCTATTTTTCTGAGCAAGTAAACCATTGCACCGTTTATTCAAAAGCTAAGATATGCATAAAGAGAAAATTCAGGAAGGAATTTCCTCTGCTGTTTGCTTCGGTTTTTTCCAACCCATTCTCTTTATACTGCACACAGCCTATAAATAGCTAGGCTTGTTCAGATAACAGTAGTCATGTATACTTTCTTATTTCTTTCACAAAATATGAAGTATTTTAAATACTTTTACTTTTGCTCTTGCAATTTAAAATATGTGCTGAAAATCACTCTATATTGATTCATAGAGACCTTTCTCTTTCTTCATAATGCTTTTATAATGCTCCATTATGTGGATGCATTATATTCAACTTTACTTGACCCTGTGTAGGACCAGAGTGATAGTGCAACATTTAAGGCATTTACTTTGTGTGCAGCTGACCCAGGGTCAGTAACTGGCAACACGTATGGTTCTCTCACTACCACCAGGAATGATCCTCAAGTACAGAGACAGGAGTAAGTTCTGAGAGCAGCCAGGTGTGACCTAAAAAATCAGGGGGAAAAAAATCCTTGTATAGCTTTTGACTCCTTTTAAACTATATAGTTAAGTTAAACTTCGCCCTGGATATATGGAGACTGGTTTCAGAGTGCCTGAAATCTTTGCTTTTTACTTCTTTGGAATTTGCCCTCCAAATTCACAGTCTGATACATGGGCTCAATCAACTGATATTGCAAGTAGTTGAATTTGTGAATGTGAGCCCACTGATATGGAGAGCCTACTCGTATTTATTGAAAAAAAAATCTGTATATATGTCCAGTGTCCCCTTCAAACTAGTGCTGTTCAAGGGGCAGATGAATATGTATTTATCATACTAAGTATCAGTTGCTGGTGTGTATGTATGTGTGTGTGTGTGTGTGTGCATGTATGTGTTTGTGTGTGTTTTAATCACCTCTATTCTTTCACCCTGCAAGTCTTGCATATTCATACACAATTTTTAATCTCAGATAATGGAAATTATTCTTAGTTAAGCCTGAAACATGCATTTCCTTTTTTTCCCTGAAAAAATGTGAAACATTTTCCCCAGTTGAAGTAGGGTTTCATACTCATATATAGTTTTTTTTTTTAGGAATCTAATTTTGAAGTTAACATATATAGTTACTCAGTTACCATGAAATGCCACACTAGTTTTTTTCTTTCTTTTTTTTTTTTAACTCCATACTAGTTGTCATTGGAAACTAGTAACTGAATTTCAGTATACACTTTGATAAAGACTTTCTTATGGTAAAAAAAATAGAGGAAGAAAGCAGAATCGTTTAGAAATGATTTTTGAATTTTTTGTTTATCCTGAGACTCTCAAAATATGTCAATACAATTGTAATTGTACTAATGCCTACCATAAATTGAGCTTCTCATTAACTGTGTGTAGTGACTGCTCAATGGAAAGGTCAGAAGAAGGTTCATTTGGGGTGGATTTTTACCCCATGTGATATGAGTTAAATTTATCCTCTGAAGAATTTTAAATCTTGTTGAATTGGTGACATTTTTTTAATGTCTTAGAAAAAATTTTTTTAACAATGAAAGATTACAAGACATAAGACAAACAGTAGCCTGTTTAATTTTTACTCATAATTAATTGTCAGGTTTAAATTCTAGATTTCTAGTTTTTGTAACAAGTTTTTCAAATGCAAATTTTGATTAAGTTGCCCATTTAAATTTTCATTACATTTGTTAAACTTTTTATTTAAAAATTCTTATGTGGTAGGAGTTATGTTAAAACTGATATATGATGCTTTAGTATAAAATGTTTTATTTTTTGTTTTATCTTGATATACTCTACTAGGAAAATCATGTCTTTTAATGGTATAGCTGATTTGTGTTTCACTGAATGAATAATTAAAAAACAGTTTGTAACTAGCCTTTGAAATGATTTAATGTGGTTTCTAGGCTAAGTAAAAGCTGTAGACTTTGTGAAAAAATATTAGAATATCCGTTGACTGGTAGCTCCATGTTTTAAACACCACTCAAAATTGTACTACATCTAAAATATTTCATAGTGAATTATTTCCATTATTAAATAAATGTTATCACCATGGATTTTAGCATTTTATGTTTTTTCTGACTTGCTTTCTCTAATTTCCTTCTCTGCCAAACACTATCTGCCGTGCTGACCACTCATGAACATGATTTGAATTCTGAGTGTTGGTTTTTGGTTTCATACCAATTAAATAATTACACATACAGCCAGAAATCAGCAAACCAGGGATGTACTTCAGCTGAAGAAAAGTAAAAGTTGCTGTAATTTTTCATGAGTAAGAACAGCATTTTTTCCTCATGAGCTTTCAAATATTTCTCAGATATTTAAAACTATAATTTATAAATTGATAAAACTAAAATGATTGGGTTAGCTTTGAATACTGTCGCACTTTTCAATTTAATGATGCTCTTTTTTCTTTTTTCTTTTTTTTTGGGGGGGGGCTGGAGCAATAGCACAGCGGGTAGGGCATTTGCCTTGCACACGGTGGTCGACAGGGCTGATCCAAGTTTGATTCTTCCGCCCCTCTTGGAGAGCCCAGCAAGCTACTGAGAGTATCTCACCCACATGGCAAAGACTGGCAAGCTCCCCGTGATGTATTCGATATGCCAAATACAGTAACAAGTCTCACAATGTTACTGGGCCTGCTTGAGCAAATCGATGAACAACAGGAGGACAGTGACAGTGACAGTGGGCCACATTCAGCTGTGTTTAGGGCTTACTTCTAGCTCTGAACTCCAGGATCACAGGGAGTGGCACAGGAAGTGGCACTATATATATATATGTATGTATATATATATCCTGATATATATATCATATATATCCTGATATAGATATATATATCATATATGTATATATCCTGATATATATATATATATATATATATAGATATAGATATATATATCTATATCAGGAATAGAACTTGGGGTGACCATGTGCAAGGCAAAAGTCTTACCAGCTGTACTGTTGCTCCGGCTCCTGGATCTCTTTCTTTTTAAAAGGAGTTTTGTTTAGGACTCCAGTTAGATTCTAGACAAGTGAAATCACTTCACTTAAACACTTAACTTCCCGTTAGTCGTCGATTTGCTCGAGCGGGCGCCAGTAATGTCTCCATTTGTCCCTGTTGCGTGCTAGTGTAGCCCAATGGCATCTGTTCGCTCCGGGAACATGAAGGGCCTCAAACCGATCGTTCATGATCTTGACGAAGAAGTCTGACCATCTGGTAGGTGGGCGGCCACGCGGTCTTTTGACATCCCGTGGAATCCAGTCAGTAACAGCTCTAGTCCAGTGGTCGACTTTAAATCTCATTACATGACCAGCCCATCTGATTTTCGACACCTTGGCAAATGAGACAGCGTCCCTGATTCTTGATCGTCGACGGATGTCAGAACTCCGGATTCGTTCTCTCATTTGAGTGAAACGTGATATTCCAAGCATAGCTCTTTCTATTCTTCTTTGGGAGACCTGAATAGCGTTCTCATCTTGTTTGCGTAGGGCCCAGGTCTCTGAGGCATATGTTAATGCAGGAAGAACAGTGGAATCAAAGAGATGTGCCTGGAGCCAGAGGTTCTTCGTCCTCTTAGCTATTTCTTCAACGTTCTTGAATGCGTTCCAAGCCGCTCTCTTCCTCCTGCGCAGCTCGGGTGCCAGGTCATTTGTCATGTTGACTTCTCGACCTAGGTACACATAGCTGTTGCATTCGGAGATGGTCGTTCTGTTGAGAGCAAATGGGGTGTCAGGAACAAGGCTGTTTCTCCTAAACATTGTCTTCGTAAGATTCAGCTGTAGTCCTACCTTTCTATACTCACGGTCAAAGTCGGCCAGCATTTGTGTCGCTTGGCTGATGTTTGGTGTTATTAAAACAATGTCATCAGCAAAGCGGAGGTGGTGTAGTTGCCGACCATCTATCTTCACTCCCATTCCTTCCCATTCCAGTCGTCGCATGATGTTCTCGAGGGTGGCACTGAAGAGTTTCGGTGAAATGATATCACCCTGCCGCACCCCTCTCTTGACATCAACGATCACTTCTTTGTAGAATGGTGAGATCCTGGTAGTGAATCCGCAATACAGCTCACGGAGGATCCTGATGTATTGGGCTTGAATGCCC